CAGAAACTTTGCAAAAGAAGACAGAATAATGGCCAAAAAACATATGAAAAAATGCTCAACATCTCTAATCATCAGGGAAATGCAAGTCAAAACCACAATGAGATATCACTTATCTCCAGTGAGACTGGCCTTTATCAAAAAGTCCCAAAACAATAAATGCTGGCATGGGTGTGGTAGGAAGATGGCGGATTAGGGGTTATCTTCTAGCTTTCTGCTCCCAGAGTAGGAGGGGAAGAACACGGACACCCACACGCGAGTGAGGCGCTCCCCTGCAGGATCAGCTTCGTGAATCTACAGAGAAGCAGCGAGGGACAAGCAGTCCCGCGGATAGAATAAGGTTAGCTTTATAAGCGCTGGCAAATTACTGGAGAGCTGGGACAAAGGGGAAGTCCAGTGCGGGCCGGCCGCGCCCGGCGGTGGGCTTGCCCGCCAGTGAGATCTGACTCACAGGAAGACAACTCTTCCTCTACCAAACCCCACTCCCACTCAGGCAGGGAAGTGCCAGAAGTCAGTGCGAAGTGGTAGCACAGACCGACAAGTGGTGGGGAGCCGAGACAGGACCGGGGTCCATTTTGAACGCACCGAAGCGCGGCGCTGGGTCGGCATCAGAGGGGAGGGACCAGCCCGAGCGCGCGCTCCCCGGATCGGATGCTGCCCGAGCCCACAGGGGAGAGTTTGGAGGCAGCTTCTTGCCTCAGGAGACTGCCAGGACTAGATCGGGGGAGGGGAACTCCATAAAAGAGGCTCTAACCGCGGAAATCGCTGAAAGTTCCGTGGGTGCTGGGAGGGACACAGCACAGAGTCCTTCCACGGATGGGTCCAGAGCCGCCGTGGGTAGGGCGCCTACGAGCTCAGGGTGCGGCCCTGGGAGTTGGCAATGGCGGACCATGGCTCCAGATGCCCTCCCGGTGCAGTTGGCTTCAGCGCTGACTAGCAGGGGGTGGGCAGCTGCAATTCGGGGACCACAAAATCTGCAACCGCGGGGACTTGTTCCCTGGGCGACCACCTGAGTCATAGCCACTGCCGCTGCGGCAGAGCTGGTAGCGCCCTGCGAGGAGTGGCGCGCGCGCAGCCACTTTTTCTCCCGAATCTGCGCAATCTGTCACAGCCGCAGACTCAAGCCCCGCCTCCGAAAGGGTGGAAAAGAGAGAAAGAGCGATATTGCTGCCGAGTTTCCAGGCGGTATCCAGCGGCCCTGTTCCACTCAGTCCCTGGCGCTGTCCACAAAATGACGGGGAACTGAGAGTGGACTGAGAGAGACTCCTTATAGAACTGTGATCCAGGACACATAAGTCCCTTTCTGCCCGGCAATTCGTCCTCCGCCCCAACACACCGCGCTAAAGGGCCGGCCTCTACCACTAGGCGGAGTAAAGGGGCCATTTTTTTTTTCCTTTTAAATTTTTTGTATAGTTGTGATCCAAGACGACATAACTAGCCCCTCCGCCAGGCGACTCGACCCCTACCCACACATCGTGCCAAAGGACCTGCCCCTGCCTCCAGGCAGAGTAAAGGGGTCATTTTTTTGTGTGCTTTTTTTTTCTTCTCCTCTTCTTTTCCTTTTTTCTTTTCTTTTTCTTCTTTCTTCTTTTTCTACTTTTTCTCTTCTTTTTTCTTTCTTTTTTTCTTTTTCTTTTCATTTCCTTTTCATTTCTTCCTTTTTTCTTTTCCCTTCTCTCTATATATATTTCTCTTAATTCTTGCTCTTTACTGTTTTTTGTATATATATATATATACATACATATATATACATTTTTCTTCTTTCCTTCTCTTTCCCTTCTTCCTACTCTTTGCTCTCTTTCTGCGAGTGTGTATGTGTGTGGGTGTGTGTCTGAAACCCACGACTGCAGGAGCCCGATTGTTGAATCTACAAAGCGGGGCTGTTTTCCACCAAGGAGACAGCGCACACCCTTGAGAGTGTCTAGTGACCTAAGAGGCCGCTCTTCAAGCTGAGACACGCGGTCACCTCTCTGCTGTGACTTGGTGGCCAGAGCCGCCGGCCAAATGGACAGATTCCACTTCAGGAAGGGCCGAGTAGAGAGTGAAGGAGGCTGTTTCCCCAGCGGAGTCCTGTAGCCTCTTTTTCGTGGTGACTTGGTAATCAGCGCCTCCTCCCAAGGAATTAGTTCCCCACCCTTGGCAGTGCGGAGGAACAAGGGAAGCTGTTCTCTGGGATGTGACCCTGTGGGAGAGGTGGATGACCCTTGATTAAGATCTGACTACCGATATTGCGTACTAAAGGGACTGACCCCACATCCGCTGGGGTGGAATAGCAGGACAGGCTGCTCTCGGGTCTGGGTTCCTCAGGGGTCTTAGGCCAGGCTTCTCTAGCATCCCTGAAGTGTGTACTTCTTTCCAGCTAGTCAACCCTGCCCTTGAAGAGGTGGAATAATAAGGGTCGCCACTTCCTGAGCTGAGACGCCAGGTAGCCCCAGGAAGCGCCCTTCCCTCAGTCTGGGGGGTTATCTGCCCCTCTGGCAAGTGAAAACCTGCCCTTGGAGGAGGAAAGAAATGAGAGATGTTTTTCAGGCTGGGCCTTGTGACAGTCTCAGCCAACACCCCTCCCACAGCCCTCCAGGACAGAGCCCGCCCCTGAAGGTAGGGAGATAGGAGAAAAAATACTTTCCCCATAGGACTAGCCTGAATCTGTATGACCTTGGATCTAAGCAAAAGGGAACAGTGTGTTGGCGCGATACAGCTGATCGGTTTTGAACACCTGACAAGAACATAACACAAAAGATTACACTTGGTGCCCAGGCTGAAGGCATCTTAGGGGCTAGTGGTCTGGGAAGGAAAATCTCGACCAGAGTCCTCAGCAATTGCACCAACTGGCATACTCATTAGGAATTTCTCCACAAGAGTGCCTAATAAGCCCTGAATAACATACTAGCAGCTCTCTCCTAGCTACAGATCAAGCAATTCCTGAAGTATACTGCCTCAGG